GGTAGAACGGTCCCAGAAAACCAACTAAATCGAACAAAAACTACCTAACCTGTGGCGATTGGACCTCCAAAACTGGCTGGCTATAATATTTGTTAGCCAATGCGCCAGCGTTCGCAAGTAACAACTCTTGCGGATGTTGCCGAATAAATTCAGTCAATGAACAGTTGAACACTCTAATCCTAATTATGAACTGCGGGTTAATTAACCTAGATTCATGACACACCAATTTTGACGTTTCATCTCTCTCTTGCCAAATAAGGAATGCTTGATATTCTTCAAGAACATTCGGCCTATAAGCATTTGCACGTTATCGAAATGGACCTCAACCTGTGAGTGGCTGATGTTAATTGAAATAAATTCGGAGGCTGGCTAGCGCTATGCAGAGGCCACCTAAACACCCGTCCCTGATCTAATTAGTTAGCTTGAATAATTTATTTATTAGTTGAGGAAGGTGTAAGGACGGGACGCCGGACTGAGTTTTCGCAGCTTGGACAGGAGAGAACGCGATCACTCATCCCGTGCTGCAAGGGAGAAAAATTTCATCAAAAGAAAATTAATGGTTATAAATAAAGGTAAGTTAGTAATGGTAAGAACGAATTTATTTACTTAAAGCTGCTTATAATCCGACCATCAGGCACAATGGGCTCATTTACTTGACTATGCACTGGAATTCGCGCTGTAAATTCTTGATTGCATTGAAATATTCATACATGAACATCTATTCATTCATATATGCCGAGCTCAATAAATACAGTTCAGAAATTTCTAAATTTATTGGTTATAAATTATCATCGTAGTAAAAGTTCATACGTAGCATTTGCATCGCTCCGACTCTTCAATTACTAAAATTGAGAAACACGCCTAGCGTTTGTTTAATACATTATAACTGGTTTAATACATTACATAACTTTCATATAATATATTCAAGGTATTTACGGGGAGCGTCTGGGGTAAAATTTATCTCGGTTATTTACGGACGGATCACTCTGAAACTTGGTTTACATATGTAAAACAGAATTCTAAGACATTTTTGTTCGTATAAATTTTTCGAAAAAAAATAAACAAAATGTGAAATTCTTAGAAAACGGCCAAAAAAGTGGGTACCTTAGAAATCTATCTCCTCCTAGGATTTTCAAGCTACAACATGAAAACACATATCATTCGATGCGTAAAGACCATATTTATAATTAGCTGTACGCGTTTTTTGAATTTCTCATTTTTGTGGGTGTGGGGGTATTTTTTGTAAATTTTTCGGAAATTTTCCGATTTTACCCCCCCCACACCCCCCTTTATGCAAAATAAAATCCTAACTATAACGAAATTTGAAAACCGCAACCAGAAATTTTAGATCTTTTCTTTGCGAATCGATTGGTATATGTCTCATTGATGTAGCTTCAAAACTGTAGGAGGAGGTAGGTTTGGCGTGAGAGAGGTTTTCATGTTTTCAAATTGTTCAGTAGAGGCGGAAAACCTTGGCGCGCTATGTAAAGGCATGTAACGTAGCTTAGATACCGAAAGTAAGCGTTAGCTCACTTCAAAGTCAGTCAGCAGTGCAGAGGACAACTTTATCAACACCTCTCCGCATGATATCTGTCGGGTAACTGAACTGTAGGTCCAGCGACAGCACATTTATAGAGCTTAGCCGTAATTATCTCCATAGGATTTTGTGAAGGGACTCCACCACACTCCCCCCTTTCGGGATCTGTCGTGAACGCATAAATCAACGTCCAGAGATGGTTCTAAAACCGTTCGATGCGGCATAGAGTAAGCTTTAAGATGAGCATAAAAACTGGAAAAGCCAAAAATTTCGACTTTTACCCCAGATCGACGCTCCCCTTAAAGTAAAGCATTGCCAATCCTTATGTTCTTTGCTTGTTTTTAGTACGTCAAGAAACTGTTCCTATGACCAAATCTGTCAGAGATAGAATTATAAACTATTAAAGATACATGTTTTCTTCCAGGTCGTATGTCGACAAGGCACGAGGTATGTCAAGTCGAAACTTACATCGAGGTATAAAAATGTCCAGTCATCATTTGTACGAGTTCACACACGATGCTTCAACGACTTCGAATGGAAATCTCTTCATGACTGCAACATCTGCGAAAAATATCTGAGGCAACATCTATCCTAAAGATGAGGTCCCGTTTCAATTTCTAGCTATTCTTTTGGATTATACATAGTCGTTATTATACTGTTTTCCTGTGTATATATGTAAAGGTGGTTCATACGAATGACTGCGGCCAGTGCTATTTCAAAATAATCTATTTCCTGCGCCCCACTCAATCACCAAGCCCTTATTGCCAGATTCAGGAAGGGTCGCAGAGTTTGTGTAGTCGCTCATTACCCAGTCAAAACTTTAAGTCCCGATCGGGGATGTTATAGGCTTAATTAAACCGGACGCAGCAGTGAAACTATAACCGGCCATCTATCCCTAAAACTGCGCTGCGCCGGGGCTAATATAGAGACAAATTCTAACAGCTCGGCAAGGACGGAACGCTGCGCTTTTGTAGCGATGGCATAGGGACCTCGCGGCAGCGTTCTGAGCAGAGTAGCCATGCAGGCCGTGCACCACAAAGGGGGTTTTGAGAGAGGGAAACAGGGGAATTAGAATGAACTCCAACCTCTATCTAGTTTATTCGAATAATACGATATTTTGGGTTCATTTCTCGCGACAGTTATGATATTTATACCACGTCATTATTTTAATACTTTGAGTAATGTAAGAATTTTATTTATCTTTCCAGTTATGACACGCAAACAGGATCGTTTACGCTCATTCACGCTTTACTTAAGCGAGAAATCAATCAGTTTATAATGAGAAAATTTACTAACGTGGATGCACGGAAAACTTTAAAAAAAACATGGATGTAATGGCAAAAATAACATGCAAATTCAACAGATTTTCACTGAAAATGTGTAGGAGACCAGCTTTATTATCAGTTCATAAAATTGACGAAATTTTCCTGCGTTTTGGAGCTAGGCTCCGAAACGTCTTCATTGAAGATATGTTGAATTTAATTGACATTTAACGCGCTTTCAAATTCGTGGTGAACTTGCGATTTAAACAGGCTAATGATTTAAGTACGGTGGTAATTTCCCTATCAATCATTTGGATGACATGAATCTAATGCAAAAATAAAATGAATTACGATGAAAATTTAGCTCTGTTATTCTCTTACATCCAACTGACGGTATCATACGAGTGGCAACTCAGTTCATTTATCTGAAATTAGTGCATGTGAATATTGTCTACTATCCAATAATCGCTCCGACTTTTCCAGAGCCCCAGAGCAGCGTTGGGCTGATTTGAGCGGGCGGTGTTCATTGAGTGCTGCGTGTCGGCAGGACAGAGCACACCTGGGCAGGGACTCAGAGAATAATTATCGCTTTTACGCGGCTGGCGATATCATCTCTGATGCGGTTATTTCTGCTCTTTCGCGTCTCTACGGCGGCCCTATAGCCGGCGTCAGCCAGCTGTATTCCCTGCTCTAAATTTTAACTTGGTATTATTTTCCAATGCCTACGAATGAAATTTTCAAAGTGTGAGGCGCTTCAGCCTCGCCAGGCAAACCGTTCCAACTGTTGACTACTCTCAGACTGAAACAGTGTTGCCTTACGTTATGATAAGACGCTGGTCCCTTCAGATTGAAAACGTGTCCTATTGCAATAATATTTATTCATCGAGGATGAATGCTGTCTGAGTTGACCTTTTGTAGCTCATGGATGAAGTTAATAAATTACAGTATATGAGGTCGATTTATAATCTTCGGTATATCAGGCTTGGCAGTCTCGACGCACAAAAAAAAGTTGAAGCGTGTGTCTCTCCATACAACAATAGGAGTATTATCTTTCTTGTTGGAAGCTAGGGGTGCTCCTCTTTCAACTCTATAGGGGTGTAACCCCTGCAACTCGATAGGGGTCCCAGTTAAAATTTAGGGCAGGGAATAGAGCAGGCCGTCGCCGGCTGCAGAGCCGGCGTAGAGACTGTCTCTTATACACATCTAGATGTGTATAAGAGACAGGGGTTATACAGATCCGGTAGCCTCTATTAAATTACTTGTTAAAGTTTATTCAAATAAGATGTTCGTTGCACATTTCGTAATGACTTTTCGCTAGGTGTTCTAATTGTTCATTAGAATTATCCGTTAACTGTTCAATTATATACAGGGTGTCCCAAAAAAACGATACCAACTTTGAATGGCTGTAACTCGAAAAGTAATAGAGCTGTCTCTTATACACATCTAGATGTGTATAAGAGACAGTGACACGTCTTGGCAGCCTAAATGATTGAAGTCAGTAAGGACAACATTCTGGAAACAATTATTTTTCAGGCATACTTTATGAAACACNAAATCGTTGGCGAAAACAATAAATTTTGTTTATGGTTTGACATATGAATCAAGGGAGTTGAATGCATCCCATGAAAGATTTGTTTGCTGTTTAACTCTTCATACACAAACCAGTAGCAAAAACGACTACTGTGTAAAAAATTTCTCATGAAATATAATAAATATCTACTCATCGTGATCATGATCTCGTGATTTTTATATTTAGTTGACACGCATTAGTGCATGTTATATGATTGTGATAGTCATGAATACCCGTTCGTAGGTGCTAACAATATGCTAATGGAATCATCCAAATATACTAGTCTTCATTTCATATTCAGTCTTTTCATATCGTAAATTTCAATTTTCATCAATTAACAAAGTTCACATATTTTCGTTTCTTGAAATTTATACTCAAATTATAACGATAGAAACGAAGATTTAATTTGTAACAATTGTAACGTAGTGAAAAATTTCATTTTCGACTCGTTTGACAGTACATTTCAGTTTCAAACTTCCACTAAATCACATTCATAATCTAGAAATGTTAATCCTTACATCTTATCCAACATATGTATGTCAATTAGTTTAATGCGTGCGTTTGAGGCATCAAAATATTCCACGGATAATCCCCAAATGAGAAAATTAATCATGTCCACTTGGCTCTGTACCTTGATAGGACATCTCCAGAACTTGGCAGTTCTTGCCGCTGGTGCCAGGCGGGCAGAGGCAGGCGCAGGCGGGACCCATGTAGCCGTGGTTCAGGCAAGGGTCTTTCTTGAGCTTGCATGTCTTCAGGTTGGTCTCTGCGGTAATAGGAGATATTCTAAATGGAGGTAAGTGGGTATATAAAAGAGGTATTAGAGGTATATTCTCATTAACACAGTATATAATAACTTTCACGTTGGAAAAAATATGACGAGACACGTTGTGATACGTTTATTTCCGTAGACATAAAAATTAAATTAAGAATTTCATTCAGGAACATGATTTGCATTTCTTTTAAGAACTCTAGTCCTTTTGAAGCGTGAATTAGAGACAAATTGGAACATTTAAAATGACGTAGCATTCGAATATCGATTCTAGCCAATTCGTAAGCTTAAAAATCTCTATTTATCCAAATCCCTCCAATAGGAAAACAACATTTTATATATAGAGCTATAGCTCGAGTTGTGAAGGCAGTTGTCGTCGCTGACGATGTCGGACGAGTTTCATATCATATATCATATCATGAATAAGACGATGCAACCGCTGTACATATGACGTGACCACATACAGCGGCGTAGCCGACTTCTGCCGGTCTCGCCTTCTTCTTTACTTGTGTTGGTGAAGTCGGCTTAGCCGGTCACGGTTCGGCTCGCTTCCTTATATTTAGAAGCCTTGGTTTAAGTGAATCTATTTGACTATATGAAGCTCTGAAATTTAAACTTTAGTTATTTAATTTGCATCCAACTAGATATTTGATGGAAGCAGCACGATACAATTTGATCATGTGTCTGGTCGTGACGATTCATGAGGTCTTTCATTTACAGCCAAACAGCAACCTGTTCACGTATTTCTGTTCAAATATTTTCAATTACCCTTACTCAAGCTTTATGTTCACATCTGAGCAACGGATTTGGCGGTATTGTACTTTGGTTGACGTCCTGTCGTCCGACGTCTGTCGTCCTGTCGTCGGACGTCTGTCGTCCCGCCACACGACGACTGGAGTCTACTAGTCTACTACAAGCGTGAGACCCAGCGTTGCCAGATGGTATATTTCTATACCAGATTTCACAAATCTGGTATTTTCAGAAGGTGTCTGGTATGAACATTTTAGATCTGGTATATTTGCCTAAATCTGGTATTTTTCTGGTATTTTCTGACTTACTGCAAATTTACTGCATTAAGTTCCACCTCTGAAGTTTGAATTCCCTCCATGGATCATATAGATTACCATCAGAGCGGCGCGACTTGAGGTTTCCCGCCATTTTTGGAACCGCAAGTTTACCGCTTGATAAAATAACCCCAATTTAAATTTTAACATTTAACAAAAGTGCTTAGTGCTATATGAGAATGAGAGTGATGATCCTCGATTGGTTACTGATCAGTGATGAACTGATGATATGACCTAGGACGAGTGAGGTTGTCGAACCGATCTCTGCGACGCAAGCTCCACCATTTTTGTTTGGTGGTTTTGAATTCTTGGGTGCCACTTATTGGAGTGCCACTTGAATTCTGGGGTACCATTCAATATTTCACTGATCTTGACAATTATCATCCATTCATGGAACTGGCTGCCTACTGCATCGCTTGTCTACTTTGACCTGTCTCCAAAGCATTCGTGGTGCAAGTGTTTTCACACGTCACCTATGTGAAAAACAAGCAACGAAATAAAATTTCAACTAAGGTACTGGAGTCCGTTATTCGGACCAAAAGCTCTCTGCTCAACCGCAACAAGTGATCACACCCGAAATGTTAGATTAATGCAATATGCAAGCATGTACGAAAATAAGCAAAATGAAGATGGCCTGTTTCCGTGGCTTGCTCATGTTGAGCGAAGAGGAAAAAGTGCCACAATGACACTGATAAAAAAGGAATAAGTGTCAATGTAATCAAACACAGGAAAAGAAAAGTGTCAAAATGTTCCAAACAGAGGGGGAAAAATATAACGTGTTCAATTTGGCTAATTGTCGTCAAACCAGATAACTGCACAGTACATAGGATAATTTTTTTTTAAAACCAACGTTTCTGACGAATAGTTTTATTAAATTTTGAAGTATTAGTCTGTTTTTGAACGATAGAATTTCTGGTATACTTCTGGTATTTTGAGCTACGCAATCTGGTATTCTCGCCAAGAAAAAACCTGGCAACACTGCTGAGACCTGCTCTGGGACTTGCGTGCGCCCATGGTCGAGGCATGCTGCTGTCCTACTAATCATAAAAGAACCTTACATCCGCAAAAAACTTACCATAACCATATAACTATAACTGTATAAACTATAACGATAACTATAAAAACTATAACGATTACTGTATAAACTGAAGCTAAATTTAACACCGTAACTAACTTAATCCTCTGTCTAGGACTTATCACTATAACTATAACTATTGGTGTTTCCACAGCCTTGGACCCGTATGCTGGTGGACGAGGCAAGAGCTCCTTCCAGGCTGCCGAAACCTAAACCTATTGTAGGTTGAAGCCCTAAATCATTGTGCCAGTCATTTGAATAAATATAGAGTTCAAACCCCATATTCCATACTTTTCCCGTCGTCGGTTTTGTTACATCGTATCATATCATAATGATGTCGGCGTTGAATAATAGGCCTGATGTGGCCTGTCGCCGATTCTTGTATTTTTCGTGACTTGTTCATAGGAGATATCTAAAAACAGGTCCTTTGACCAGATTTTTTTCACACCTAACGATAGTTTGAAATAGCTACTATACTTCCATCAGGTTCTATATGGTGCTAGGCATTTTCATGTCTGCCATCAAGGAGGCTGTTCCACATGTAGGTGACTCGGAGCGGGAAGAAATGTTGTTGTAGAGCAGTTTTTTAGTTTATGGTCGTGGTTTCTGGAGTTGGTTCTGGTTTCAAATTATAGTCATCCTTCCGGGACCTTAAATAAACCATTGGTACACTTGTATACTTCAATTAGGTCACCACGCAGACCTTTATAACGAGGCTTGGAAGCTTAATATTCTTCAATCTTCCTTTATGTGACTTGCCATCCAAGCCTGGAATTATCCTTGTAACACGTCTATGATTACTCTAGTAGATTTTTGTCCTTTACAAGTTTCGGTGATCACACGGCATTTCCAAACTCTAGGTTCGGGCGCACGACAGCGACAAACAACAGCTTCTTTGCTGCCTACTAATCTAGATAATCAGGAATTGGGATGCGTTTGTTCCAATTTTCTCCTTCTGTTCAAAAGTGTTCATCTGCATTTTGGCGATAATTCGTGTTGCGCTTATTGAGACAAGTTGTTTTTAGAGCTAGTGTTCAGCCATGAGTTTGTTTCTAAGTGGAATGTGGCTAATCAAAGGCTTTTAGTTAGGTGTTAAACTTTAACAGAATCTATTAATAAGAAGATTTTAGTCTTGAATCGGTCAAACATTTAAGCATTTATTTGTACGCTTGAATGCACTTGTAGAGTTTCCTTGCTGTTCAATAACTTGAAGATCGCTGTTCTGCCTACGTGCTCTGATTTTACAGCATGATTTTCTGAGAAATCTTCNCAAGCAAGTGAGACAATGAAGAGTGTGAGAAGCAAGTGAAACAATGAAGAGTGCGACAAGCAAGTGAGACAATGATGATGATCCTGTTCATGGTCTCACCTACACACTTGTAGATCCTGTTCATGGTCTTGGTGTTCATGAACGACGGCATCACTTCAGTCGGCCGCAGGTCTGAGCCCATGGCGGTCTGGTAGAGCGGGTTGAGGGAGACAACAACAAGCTTTCCCTCCGTGCCCTGTTGGAGTGCCGTAGTCGTAGTGTACAGCAGGCCATTATACTTAGCGGCATGTGGTTGCAGTGAGCGGTAAGAATCTAAACTAAACGGTATGTCGTTGCAGTGAGCGGTAAACCGCACTATACTGAGCGGAATGTTGTAGTGAGCGGTAAGTCGCGCTATACTGAGCAGTATGTCGTTGTAGTGAGCGGTAAGTAGCTTAACCGAGCGAAATGTCGTTTTAGTGAACGGTAAGTCGCGCTATACTGAGCGGAATGTTGTTGTAGTGAGCGGTATGTCACTATACTGAAAGGAATGCCATTGTGAACAGCAAGTCGCTATTTTGAATGGCAAGTCGTTCTAGTGAGCGGTGAGTTGCTAATTCTATGACATTTTTGCCCTTCTATGAGTCGCCCTTACGGAATTTGGCCTGGCAAAAGGGTGAGTCAATGCTATGTGTTGAAAAAGTGTCATTATATTGAAAATTTGACCTATTGTAATTTTTCTGCAACATTGGATATTTTGCACATGAATGTTTTTCTCCTCTATTTATTAGATTATTTTCCTATTTATTGTGTTTATATCCAGGTACCTGCATGCCTATCTCTAAAAGCTTCTATTAAAAATTAAAATTACTCGTATGTTTAACATGTCTGAGGAAAATCTTGCACTCACTGTAACCGCTGAATCCCAGCCAAATTTGGTTACATATCATTTCATCAATGGTCTTCACGTTCACTGACCTTAGTGTGTAATTCATACAAGCAGCCATGCTTTGCAGTCGCGGAAGGGAACAGTGAATATTTTCAAATGAACTTTTACTTCATCAACAACCAGGTTACAAGTTACGATTGGCTACAATTGACGTGACTACTATAAGTGACTTCTATTAACATGACTACAATTAAAGTGACTACCCTTAACATGGCTACAATGGACGGTTGAAATTATTTTACATTGGTCTGAAATGTATAAATTCATAATTAACATGTGATATTAACAGGAATAAATGCATCTAACGATTAACTTGACGATGACCGTCTGAACGCCACACCTTACCGGCTGGCGTCGAAACAAAGAATCGCGCCTACAAGTAGCGCAGTTGGTACTAATCAACTACTAAAGAAATGCTACGCGCTATGCGATGAAGCTGCGGCTACACTCACCCCTTCGGAGGCGATCATGATGGAGTTGTAGTCAAACGGCACGTCGAAGTTGTTGGTAGCAATGATACCGTAATAGAGATCATACAACGCAGCAGAATCGACGTTCTCACGGTGCACGTGCACGTATTTGTCCCTGGACAAATGTCGTGATAGGAATGATCAGAATCATGGATAAAGTATTTACATGTGAACGCGCTTATTTCGACGGTTATAATACGTATAAATGACCAGCATCATATTTACCGATATGTAAATGTGAACAAAAATATTTCGACAGTTATGACAGCAGTGATCAGTATCATATTTACCGATATGTAAATGTGTACAAAAATATTTCGACAGTTATGATAGAAGTAGTCGGTATCATAAATAAATAAAATACTTAAAAAAACTTAAAAAAACACGTTTTTCTTGTAGACTAAAAAGTAGAAAATAAATTATGGCTCGCCCCAAAAAACGTGTGTCGGGCAGATTTATGATTAAAGCGAAAAGCACACAACACACGAATTTTGNATAAGAGACCCAGCCTATACTAATAGTACTATATACGTATAAATATACACTTTGCTCAATTAAGCTAATTTAGGTCTCTAATTGCTAGTTTTTATGATTGTATCTGAAATTGTTAGGCGAAAATAGCCTGCATGCCGAATTTCAGACCTCTAGAGCAATCAGAAGTGGGCTAATTTTCGTTGTCAATGTTAACAACAAACAAACAAACAAACAAACGCGAAATTGAGTAAAGAAAAACGTGTTAAAAATAGCACATTAAAACTTCTAAAATTTCACATTTAAATATTTTCAAGTGCTTAAGTGTTTTCAGATATTCTGGATCATAAAGTATCGGTCCGATCGAGAAGTGTTCAATAAATTATAAATATATTTCCACTTGTCCAATTAAGAAATTTCTGATTTACTAGAGAGTCTGTCTAGCTTAGAGTCGGTGCTATAGCCAGCTCATCGTGTGATAAAACAAATTTTTGGTCAAAGGTTTAATAAAATCGTTTAAAAGGTCATCGCGTAATGCTTGACTAAGGGCTTGTGCACATACTACTGGAATTACACCTAAACATATATACACCTAACAACATACACCTAAATATTTCGGGTAAATTGTTTTGTATGTATATATAATTCACTTATCCAAATGGTATCGAGCTAGTGTGTGTTTAGTGTATTGCTCAGCTGGACTCAATCATATTTGAAACAAATTCAATCGGATAGTCCATTTGATATTAGTTTAAATGAAGTCTGTTGAAAATACGACTTAATAATAATGAATGAAAGGAATTGAACGAGTGGATTGTTTCGAATAAATAGATTCAATTCTCATAAATTGTGTAGAGCATTATAACCAGCCCAGATAATATAATTTGTCACCTCAGATTAAAATAATCTACTGTAAAAGGAAAGTTTATATCAATGTATGAGTTCGATGAAACACAACTTGCTCCCGTTTCAGATACTTTCGAAAGAAGTGAGCACACGCACAAACCTGTCGCTGCGGCTGGTTTCGTGAGCGAAGCCCATTACGTGCGCAAGTTCGTGGATGAAGCCTTTATCCTGCGAAATATAAGCGATATTTATATCCTAATTCAGCTATTAATGTAGATAAGAAGGTATTTTGGTTGACAAGCTTACGCAATATTGACTCAATATTTAATGACTAGCTTACTCAATGAAAATATATTGACAAGCTTACTCAATGAAAATATATAGAGGAGCTTACTCAATATTTGAAGACTTTTTAGTTCATTATTCGTTACAAAGGAAAATCACCAAGCAAAAAAACATTTATTCCCGCTCGAAGAAATTCGGACGAACATAGTCATGAACAGAACATAATCCTGCTTCACGCTGCATATATACGTACAGTGCATGCATCCTCTATCTTCAACACCGATGGATAATCAGGGTTGATGCCCACGTTGGCGGTGCATTCTTTGGCATTCTTTATTTGCAGGTAACCGCCTTCCTTCACCTCAGTGGCCGCCATCTCGCGGAACCTGATGCAGGTGTCCTTCTCCCATTTCCTCATCGCTCGCTCCATCATCAACTTGTTCACCCCGACTATTGGAAGAAAAATTCGTTATTGGATTAACCACAAGATGAATAATTATTGTCGAATTGACTGGTATTAGGATGAATAGTCTGATCTATTTTTCATTCATCATGTGTAAGTATTCATGGAATTGCGGTAGTTATAGTGTTCAATACAATTGGAAATCCTGCTGAAAAAGTCTGAAGAATTATTAGAGGTGTGTGATTTTTCGGGTAATCGCATGAACCCCAATCTTTTATTGCCAATAAAGTCATTTTGCATTCACTCAGTATTGTCAAGCAACTCATTATATCAGTTGTGATCTGAATATCAACCTCCTGAATATATTCTGAATATCTTACCTCCCAACTGGTAGGGAACCACAACCATTCCGTCTGCCCCGATCGGCCACATGGTTTCATCGGGGTACATGTTCCTGAAGAGATGATGCTTCCGATGATATTCTAGAGGGGAATATTCCACCCCATCCACCACGACGCTCACCAGACTTCCACGAGGCACTCCATAGTTTGCGGGCACCTGCGGTCGGAGATAGCAAAACAATTTCATTTTGAGTTTATGGTGGCATAGTAGTGAATATCACCAAGATTGGGTGAACGAGTTGGATGTTTGAAATCTTTGAATAGTTCATAAAATTCTGGTTGAAATCTGCAAGGTGGTCGAATGGCTAAGAATTGGCAACAGATCAGTCTGGCCTAATCAACGCAGGCACCACAATATTATGCGATTATAATGACAATTTCGCTATGGCAACATGTTCCTCCTGCCAGTTACATATCAGCAACATACTGATAACATGTTCCTAGCAAATAATATGCCAACACTATGTATACATGTCTGTTGCAATTAACATGTTATAAAATGATTGTACTGACAATGACACGCCAGTGAAATGCTTCAACAATGTCAGTACAGTCAGCAACATCGGGGCACGCGCAAGCTTTATACAACATGGCAGAAACGGGAGCGCAACCATTGGCCACTACTTAAATGAGCCATGGAGCCATCGCTCAACCTAAACATACACGGCCACGCTTAGCCTCCGAGCTAAAATACCATTTAACACGGCAGAAAAACAACAAGCAAGACCATTTCCGACACGTTTAAAGCCATCGCGTCATATGGCGGCCGTCACTGTTGCAGTTAGTATTGTCATCTTGGAGGCTTCATTCCAGAATGACGAAACCTCCACGCTTACCACACCTCTCCTCTTCATTTTGTGGCAGCAAATAAGATTAGGTTAATTCCGGAAAGGTTTATTAGTGTGGAGAGTCGGCGGTGGTAATTGTGGAGGTAGCCTCCATGTTGACTATACCCAGTCTAAATTTTCACCCTAATTTGGGAGGCCCCGGAGGTGATAGAGTCGGCTTAATGATGAATCAACTTTGAATCGGCCACCAAGGATATTTTGGTTCGCAGCCTTCGGCTACAAATTTAGTTCTTAAACAAGCCTTGTAGCAATTGCTCTGTATCAAAATGCTCGGTTAAACTCAGAGCTGCGAAATCACAAACCAACGCTAGAAACATTACGAGCCATACACGTTCCGCGCCGGCTTTATGGCAAAGTCGCAGCGTGCCTGCAGCCACTGCTGCAGCCAGTATAGTCTCCACAGTATCTAAACCCCAACATGCGCCTACCTCCGCACTTACCCCGCCTCTCCACTTTTCTGCCGCCAATAACCGGCTAGGTTAAGTAGTATTAGTAGTATAACCATACCCATAACCAACTAATATAACCATATCAATATGGTTATATTTGTTGCAACCCGATTCTACACATAGAATATGGGCCTCCGATAAACTTTGCCATGATCTTTAAACTAAGCGAGTAGTACTAGGCTGCCTATATATCGCTTATATAGGTCCAAATGCCACCTCCCTTTCCCCCAGATTAAGAAGGAAAGGGAGGGGGAAATTTTTTATACACATTTCAGATTCGGCCTTGTCAGTCCCAATTAGACATCAGGTACCAGATACGCCCGCCTCGCACCCGCTCCCAGGTCGCCAGGGAATAGACTGGATTCCAATAAGAGGCTAATTTAGTTCGGCCAAATTTAACGAAACGATAACAAAGAAATTAAAGCTCAACGCGTCATTAATTCAGAAGCTAACACCCACCCCGAACCCGAATTCCGAGATGGGTACTGACTAGAGCGTCTGCTGCGGACTTACGGCGACTGCGACTCTAAACATTTAACTTCATAGGCTACTGTAGTCAGTAGCATGCTTGAGCACGGAAAAGAATGTGAAATTGATGTTGATATTTAGCAGTGTTGTCACTAACATGCATCAGCAGATATATGAGTATACTGACAATGATGATAATTAAGAATTCTTATAATAATTCTCACGAAGCGTGATGATAGGCTACTGCCAACGTAATTCCAGCAAGATGTTTATACTCGTACTGCTAATGAAATGGCATGATTATACTACCACAAACATTCATACAACATTATTACACTAGCAAAACCATGTCAGCAAAATGATTATACTGCCAGTAACACGCAAGCAGACCAGCTACAAGATTAGCCATTCAATAACAAAATTAAGGGTCCAACTTTCATCTTCTTCAAATTAGTTGACTATTTCGTTGCCTACCAGATGCTGCGTCTGGCAACTTAAAATCTCCAACGTCAAAATGACATTCTGTCAATTCACTCCCTCACTCAACACGGTCAATAAGTAAGTCTCCCTCTCAACACAGTCAATTTAGTCGCCCGCTCCACACAGTCAATTTAGTCTCCCGCTCAACACAGTCAATTTAGTCGCCCGCTCCACACAGTCAATTTAGTCTCCCGCTCCACACAGCCAATTTAGTCTCCCGCTCAACACAGTCAATTTAGTCTCCCGCTCAACACAGTCAATTTAGTCACCCGTTCAACACAGTCAATTTAGTCTCCCGCTCCACACAGCCAATTTAGTCTCCCGCTCAACACAGTCAATTTAGTCTACCGCTCAACACAGTCAATTTAGTCTCCCGCTCAATACAGTCAATTTAGTCTCCCGCTCCACACAGCCAATTTAGTCTCCCGCTCAACACAGTCAATTTAGTCACCCGTTCAACACAGTCAATTTAGTCAACCGTTCAACACAGTCAATTTAGTCGCCCGCTCATCACAGTCAATTTAGTCACCCGCTCCGCACAGTCAATTTAGTCGCCCGCTCATTTCAGTCATCCGCTCAAAAATACTTTACACTCAAATCAGTCTTCCACTCAAATCAGTCTTCCACTCAAATCAGTCTTCCACTCAAATCAGTCATACACTCAAATCAGTCGTACACTCAAATCAGTCTTACACTCAAATCAGTTTTACAATCAAATCAGTCTTACACTCAAATCAGTTTTACAATCAAACATGGAAATCAAAGATTTAACCATTAATCATTTTGCAAACTAATCACCAAGTTAGTGATGGGATAATCATAACATACATGTACTAAATATCGAAGATATCGAGTTTTCCATCATCCGAGGCAACGAGTTTGCACATATACATCGGTCAAACATTTACATACACTGTATATTCATAGAATATTATAACATAATAATATAGAATATTATTATATTATTATTATATTAAAAAAATTATAACACAACAATGAAATACTCACAGCGATAACACAAGAAGCGATTACCATCAAGGCCAGGTTCAGGACAACAATATTCACTGAACAACTCATTTCTGTTCTCTTTACTCTACTTATTTCGTCTAGTATTAAATATTTTAGCAATTCTGAACACAAGAAATACAACCACTGCACGTACTTCACCTGTTCAGTGAAGCACTAGAGTGCTGCGCGCGGAGCAGCTTCTTTTAAGGGGAAACTTTGTGCCGCACAGAAAAGGTGTTCAAGTTTGTACAAGTTGGGGCACATGTACACTGCAAACTTTGCAGGCGCACTCCGATACATGAGTGGGTCATATTGTCCAAATATTGACTCACATTCGTACCAGCTGGGTCAGGATAACCCAAACAAGTGCAAGAAGCGCTTCGCATTTTGTAAGAAATTTCACGTATTTCTCTGAGTGAGATATGAGCTCTTTGTTCCGTGATGTTTGTAGCGTGCAAATAACGTGGCGTGGGCGGATGGCAAGTCTGCTAAATTCATCCGTGACATTCATGTACATTATTCATCATTAACATGTATGTAAATTATTCGTCAGTGACATTCATGTACATTCATCCATGATGTTGGCTTAATGGAAGAAACATATGGGAGACTTTTATGGGAGATCATCTGAATTATCCGTTACATAGTACACCATAATCGCTCGAGCAGCTAACTGATTTTGACTATAATTGTCACTGTAAGCTGTGATCGAACACACAACTCACTGCTTCAAACCTGGTACTCTGAACTATTACCACTTGGCCACCCTTCCGAGTGGTTAAAGAATACAATGTAATAAAAATTGTTTTCTCTTCCTCAAAATAATCGTTATACGTATTTGTTTAAGCCTCTTATATCGATCTATTAATAAAAGCAACGAATTTGAATACCATGGTCTATAGATATGATTTTTTCAAATGATATCGCAGAGTAACTTTGTAAATAGTATTTTAGTATAGTGATGCATATGAATAATTTAGCTTGGTATGTATTTATCAAAGGAATTTGTACACGGGCGCAATTCTGAGTCTGGGACCCAGTTCTAAGACTGCATGGGTTCAATTCTGAGTCTGGGTCCCAATTCTGGGCGTGGGCCTCAACAACACCTACGATGAAAGCCAACAGTTGATCTATTTTTGTGCTCCGTCAATACTTCGATGAGTTCAGCTGTGCCGAGTTAAACATTCGCTGCAAAAAACACAAACGAAATCAAATGAAAAACGAGTTCTTCCAATTCTTTGTTAAATTCCTTCAATACATCGGTCACACTTTTAAGCCATGTATTGTCCGATACGAATTTCAAGAAATGGGTTCGACACAGCTGCGTATATCATCAAACATTTGCGAAAAACATACGAGAAATCATGTGACAATAAACTGGCACCTCCAGTTCTTTGTTAGATTACTTGTATACGCTGGTAAAACAGACGTCTCGGACAATTTTACGGCCGGACTCGCGGCCGGACTCGCTGCCGGACTCGCTGCCGGACTCCCTGCCGGACTCGCGGCCGGTCTACAAAATTCAATGATGAAGGAATATCTCCCAAACCAATGAGCGCAGCTCTATGGAACTTGGTACACTTATTCATTAGGACCTAACGGTGATGTTAAGCTTATGAAAACCTTTTTAATGTCGCCTTAATTCGTGATTAATATGCGATACGGGGCGAAATTCGCAGTGATCAAGGAATTTCTTCCAAACTACTGAACAGATTTGGATGAAATTTCGAATATACATTCCTAACTGCCAAACGGTTATGTTTAGCCCGCGAAATTTTTTCTATTTCGCCTCCTTTCGCGTTTTTTCCATTTCACCTTCTTTCGTGATTCAAACAGCAATACTTGCTTAAATTCGAAGTGCTCAAGAAATTTATTATAAACTACCGAACAGATTTGATCGAAACTTTGCATATGCGAATACCGTAGCTCACAAACGGTGATGTTTAGCTCGTGACAATTTTTTCTATATTGCCTTTGTTCGCTAGTTATACGGATATACAGAGAAACGACCGGCATTTCTGAGGCCGATTTTCAAACTTGCATTGACCAAGAGCCATTTATGTATAGCCGTATAACTCGCAAACGAAGGCCAAAACGAAAAAAAATGCTACGACCTAAACATCACCGTTGGGAGTTCAGGTATTTATATGCAAAGTTTCGTTCAAATCTGTTTAGTAGTTTCGAATACATTTCTTGTTCACTTCGAATTTCGACCCGTATCGCCATATAACTCACGAATGCAGGCGAAATTCGAAAAATTTTCACGAGCTAAACGTCACCGTTAGGTCCTGATAAATACGTGTACCAAGTTTCATCGAGCTGCGTAAATCATTTTGGGATATATTTTTTGATCGTTGAATTTGGAGATTGACCGTAGGACAGGCCGCGAGACCGGCGTCGAGTCCGGCCGTAAATTTGTCCGAGACCAAGAAAACAGACGCCGTGTATTTTCCAACACGAATTTTAAGAAAAGGGAGCGACACAGCTGTATACTACTAGGTAAAACATCTGCGACAGAGAACACGAAAAATCATATGAGAAAAATTGTATCTGCCATTTTTCACTGGTGTTTGTATATGTCAGGCCAACACGAGCCTGTTGTTCCTGATATCGGGCCTATGCGACAGCAGAGACTAACGTCGCAAAAGTCTATTGTTTCAATAGTGTTTTTTTCATTTTTCATTGCCATTTCTCTAGAGAAATGGCAATGGGGCTCTACAATTTCTTTTACACTACTCGTCTAGTCTCTAATCAAGTCAATACTCGTCAAAGCTCCTAGCATTGAAAGAATGGTCAGAAAATTTAGAAATTTAAACGTCGTTGATTTGTCGATAGATTTTTTTATCGGGTGTGTCGGTCGGAGGGAGGTTCAGAAATACAGGAGAGATGACATCGAGTGAAATTGCCTTAAGGATTAACGGAGCCGGCAAAGTTGCAGTTAAATTATATGTATTATTTCATTCGTATTATAATAATATATTTATTTTTATGGTTATTATTTTTTATTGTAATTTAATTATTATTATCCTTATTTTATTTTATTTAATAAGTTTCAAATCAGTTGATACGTTAATAAAGAGACTAATTACGTCTACTGAGGCTGGGTGACCACATGGCTGATTGGTGCAACAAGTGAATAAAGTCACTTATTGTCTAATATAAAATTTTCACGAATTTCAATTTATTCGTTCAGCATCTAATTCACGTCCTGTTCTGTGCATCGAAGTGTTAACCTGAGCAATCATTTGTCTCAGCGGGTTGTCTTCTCCATGATTTGTTCAGTGGAAATTTAATTAATATTCATTATTAATTCATTCATAGCATTCATTGTTCCTAAGAACATTCATTATCAGGCGACCTGCGCAAAATGTTTGCTAAATTATTAGTTATTAATAAAAAATAGTATATTATGAAGAAAAAATACGGCCAGACACGCGTTGTTAGTATTAAACTGAACGTTAAATTCTAGTAAAAACTCATAACCAGCATTTTTTACTAGTTCTTACGCATTCTTTCATTTATGAGTCCACTATTTCACACACCTTTGTATGCATATTATATATTAACGCGTTTTGTCGGAACTTTCTCGGGTAAATTTATACGGTAGATTGCAAAAGAAATTTGGAGCGGATGGGGCCCTCGCGAAGGAATCTAAATTTTTGATATTGTCCGAATAATGATACACTTTCTGCACGTAGCACTAACACGTCCTTTGCCGGGCCAAACTGGGTCAGGATGACCTACAGATGAGCAAAATTTGAATCGTTGTTTGGACAAAGTTACACTTATTTCTGCGAAGGCAACTTTCACACGAGAGCTAATAGGCAATTCTAATTTGACCTCAATAGCTGGTTAATTGTCACACATTTGTATAGATTGTCATTGGAGTGTCACAAAAAAATTAGGCTTGGCTTAGGCTTCCATTTTTCAGTCAAAATTTAGAATGAAAATATGAGAAGCAATTTAAACAAATGACCATTACAGAACAAAAGCACAAACAAATTAAATTTTATTTGTCAGTTTATTAATGAATATATTTTGTAATTATTGAAAACTGTGAATTTTTTTAATGAAATGATGGATTTAAATTTTGCAGATATTAAAATTTCTGGGAATCAAGAAATAAATTATTACTTGACGGGAAAGAAATTTTGTATATCAGAACAGCAAATGTTTTAATTTACGAGGTAATAACTGACCAGGTTGTACAGTGTTGCATGGATGTAATATATTCATTGCATGTTAATATTGAGGTATACTGATTGATAATTCAGATAAAAAGTAAAACTCGTGACTACTCACAGCAAAAATTAAACAAGGGATCACCAGCAAAACTAGGTTTAGTGCGACAATATTTACTGAATAATTTATTTTTATTCTGTTCACTTGAAATTTTAATCTATAATTAAATATTTATATAAATTGTGAAGGGAGTAAATCAAGTCTCACTGAATGCTTCATCAAGTCTCAGTGAGAGCTTCTTCCGCTCAGTGAAGCAAAAGTCCAGAAGCTTCACGCGGCGCAACTTCTTCTATTTGAGGATTTTTATTATATAAGCTGCTGGGAACATGAGGAAAGGTGTTCAAGTTGACAAAACTTAGAAAACATGTTCACTTCAAACGTTCTTGATGAGACACGTTCTTTGTTCACCGATACATACAACGTCCGATACATACAACGTCCGATACATACAACGTCCGATACATACAACGTCCGATACATACAACGTCTGATACATACAACGTCATCACCAAACAAAACATGTATTACATTACACAAAACACATTACAAAAAAAATATTGTACATTACAAAAAAAAATTATTTCCCATCTGCCAAGGTAAAGAATTGAAAAATTTGTCTCTATGTATGGGTATATTTCTCAGTCTAAGTCTGAGAAAATTAATAATATTGTTAGACTCATTAAGCTTCAACTGATAGGTACATTGTCCTAGTAGAAGATTTTGCAATGTTTTTTATACGAATTTTTCTCATAAACAATTTTTTTGTGGAGCAATTAGGATTACAAGATGATTGACTTAGCTAGCTTGTTACCCACCCAAAATTATTTTAAAACTTTCTTTCTCATCTACAGACAGGTTAAAAATTTTCTCACTGTTTTTAAAAATTGTACAATTGAAGTAGAGTTATTAGA